ACTCGATGGAGTTATGTCATATACCCATGGAAGGGCACAGATCTGTTTTGAAAGGTGGAGGGGGAGGGCATTCTGTGAGTCGACACCCACTTCAGCCCCACCATGGTTGGAGCTGAGGTGTGAAAATTTGAGGAAATAGTACCTCTAGATGGCCAGAAATGACACTTTTAGTAAAATTCATCATCATCACACATCACCATTAGTCAAAATGAAGCGTCAAAAAAATTCTCATGATCTTTAATCAGGGATTTTTGACAACCATAGAGATCTTATTAATGTGTGTGTGATATACCACATAAAACAAAGCTTAAAAACATTGTCTTCGAATATGTACTTTACATAGGCCTACTTCAAAAACGTTATTTCACAACCACCTCAGCCCCACCATGGCTGGGGCTGAGGTGAGAAAATTTGGGGAAATACTACCTCTCGAGATGGCCGGAAATGACACTTTTATATAGTAAAATTCATCATCATCACATCACAATTATAGTCAAAATGAAACGCCAACAAATTTCTCATGATCTTTTATCAGGGATCTACTTAATATCCAGGACAACTTAGGCCTAACTAAAGCTTACTAAGCTTTAACTATATATACTATATTATGATCAACAAATCACAACTTTTTTCGCATTTAGCACAATTTTCTTCACTTTTTATTGCTATTAATATTATTATCAATTATTACTATCGTCATCATCATCATCATTGTTATTATCATTATTACTAGTAGTAGTATTATTTAAAAAAATTAAAGAAACTTGGAAAAGGATAAAAACGAATTTGAACCACAGTATCGCATTTCTATCTTAAAAGACCTGGCCTGAGATTTATGGATTTAAGATTTTTTTTAAATCACGCTTAAGCCTATGTGTTCTATTAGGCCTATGTATAACGTGTACGGTACTGATGCATATTTACATGTTTTAAAAGTATACATTTTGAGTGATTTCAGGAAAGAATTTGTAGATCATGAAGAAGATAGTTCTGATAGCAACAATGATTTATTGTTTTAAGTACTGTAACAAAAACATCCAGAGGCGAATATAGAAAGTTATAGATAAAAAGTATTTATTAAAGTTTTCATAGGTTTGTTTTAACACCCGGTGTTGTACCTTACTAATGTAACTTTCATTCTAATTAAAGAGAGCCACGGATTTGTCATTGAAGATTCGAACAGGCCCTTAAAATTATAGCTATATCGACTACAATGTATGTTATTTAATTAATACATTTAAACAAATTTAGATAGATCTTAATAATGTGACCTTAAATAGGCCTACGTGCTATCAACTAATTATAGAACTTATTCAGTGAAATATTAACACTTTTCTGTGTATATCATTTTAATTTCTTCAATTTCAAACAAATGACAGTTTTTACAAACAAATTTTCGTGTAATTTTTTTATTTTAAATGAATAGTAAGTACCTACACTGTAGTCATAATCGGATTTAAAAATCTGGCCGATATCGAAAAAAAGTTTGGCCGAATTTGGCCGTGAGATGGCGTGTGTTTGGCCGTGCGTGAAGCCTTCGTCGACTAACGTCCGTACCCTGGATCTGGCCGTAAATCTGGCCGTATAAAAATTCGCCTGGCCGTAACGCTTGAAAAGTCACGGCCAAACTCTATTTGGCCAAATTTTTTGAAAAGTTTACATTTTTTTAAATATAGGCCTAATAAAAAGTAGGCTTGTTTTGGATATGTTGTTAATTTTGTACAAAAGCTTTGATTCTAATCGTGTACTTGTACATTGAACGTTCGTAGTCGTACTCGCACTGAATACTTACGTTTATGTCCCAGTGGCGGATCCGGGGGGGGGGGCGGGGGCAAGGGTGGGTTCAGGGGGTTCGGATGAACCCCCTCTGTGAAGAAACGTATAACAAATTACTACTGGGTCCTGGCTTACAAAATTCATGCTAACTAGATGTGGATCCAGACCTTGTTCTCTTGATGTTGTCAATATTATAATAGATTCATGAAATGCCTAATAGGCCCTAAACGATATATTATAACTTGACCATAGTTTGTTCTCAATATTCTTGAATTTTTTAAACAAAATATTTTTTAGATATTTCGGAAATGCTGTTTAAAAAAATCTCAGAATGTATGAGCATTAAGAGTTTCGCCTGAGTAGACCCCACTAAAAGGCTCTGTCTCCAGGTCCGATCAGGTGCATTTTTACCAATACTAGGACCCGGCAGTTATCTATGCCATATAGCTACCAACCGTCACGCATCGTGCGGGACAGTCCCGCGTTTCATAGTGATTTTGGATGAAACACGCATTTTGCAGAAGCACATGCGAGATCATAAATGTGTCACGCATTTTGTACTTGCGTGATAACGAATCACAAATTCAGGGGAAAATGTATTCAAAATTAGAAGAAATTAATTTTATCAAAAATATAAAAACGGTCATACAGTAGCTTGAGTCATTTGAGAGCTTTCATTATCTCGTTCGAGAATCAATTCAGAGAAAATTTCTCCTTTCCGACCAAAACAACCTAGCCAACCACGCACTTGTAGAATCTGTAGTCGCGAGCAGTCTTGCGAGTTTACAGGCCCGTATTTAGGAATTTCAATAGGTTGGGGGGGGGGGGGTTCGGCTTGGGACTATGCGGAACTCCCTATCAAAACCCACATACTTCTTTTTCTCTTCCCTAAATGGGAACTTTATTCAGTGTGATAG